GCTCCCTTTGAGAGCGCGGTCTCCCTGCCCCTCCAGGCTCCTGGCTTCTCCAGCAGGCGCCGTTTTCCTCTCCTTATAAAATATCCATGGCTGAGCTTATCTGTGAGGTACAGTCAGTACAAAATGGCCATTCATCCAGCCCCCAGGCAGAGGTGGGAATACATTAGATCCTGCATGGAGCGCGCTGGGGCTGCGTGCTTTAATATATGGCCAACACGAAACGTCGGTCCTATAGAAAAGTCCCAGACCAGTAGTTTACGAGCTCAAAGCCCGTCTGGCTCGAGGAACAGCTGCACAGTCGCCTGCGAGCACTCGCAGAGCTGCCGCATTCAGAGCCGCCCCGAAATGACACGACTGCGGTTAGCGCAGCACAGAGCCCGGCTGCTCCACACAGGGTCTGAGTGGTTTTGGGGCCACGTCCCCCGCTGTGGCAGTCGGCTGCGAGCGTGGGCAGAGCCAGTTTGCGTTTGCCTTGCAGGTATTCCAGGCACCCGTGGCCTGACACGCTGAGGGCAAAGCAAAGGCGTTATCTCATCATTCAGAGATTATCAAGGGCTGCCCCGAACAAGAAATCAATGAAATGTAGACCTGGCGCTTAGAGACATGGTTTAGTGGTGGAATTGGCAATGTTAGGTCAATGGTTGGACTCAATGATCTTAAGGGCCTTTTCCAACCTAAATGATTCTATGAAACTTTCTGTTGTGGAGACCTGATTTTCAAAAGCACCAGGCAAAAGCTTTCTCTCCTGCTGCTGTCTCAGTCTCCACTTGGAGCCCTCAACAGCCCAAGATGACCTTTTTAGATGGCTTACCTGGGAAACCAGTGCCTAATAGTCTCAGGAAAAATAAGTATCCAAGTGGTCTCCGAGATAAAACCATCAGTGCCAGAGGAGACAGTCCCACCTCTTGTTGAGAAGAGCATTTTTATTGATGTGGCTTCAAAAGATCTTGCAGGTCACCAGAGCAGCCCTGCTCACATTGCGGCAGGGTCCCAGACTGGCATCACCCTGTCTGCACGGCAGTGAGGCCAACTTAGGATTCAAGAGAGGAGCCTCCCATGCGTTTTTTAAAAAGCAAAGCTGATATTAAAGGAAATTATCATAAGTAATATTTCAGCATTTAACTCTTCAAAGAGGCAAGCTCTTCGCATAGGGTCCTTTTCCTGCATAGAGCTGAAGAACAGCATCCCAGGCAGGACACAGAAGTATCTGAAAAAGGTGCCAGGAGTGAAACCAGCACTCTGCCAGCACAGCAGCTGTCAGTCAGCTGCAAACTTTGGAAATTGGGGGTAGGGAGACTGCAGGAACTGGTAGGGACTCTGCTTTCATTCCCTGCAGGAAACTTAAATCAAGGAGGAGTCAGGAAGCCTCAGGCTGGATTGGATCAGGTCCACTTTCCCTTCCAGGTATCTCTCGGGACAGCATCCTCCAACTCCAGGAGATGTTTCTGCTGGGGACAGTTACTGAGGTCCATCAGAAACTACAGTGGACAATTCCCAGTGCTCTCCATAGAAGCCAAACATACCTGTACAAGTACGGGTTTTCATTCAGGGCACTCACTGCATCGCTTGGGGCATTTGAGGCTCAGCACTAGGCACCGTTTGTTTCTATATCACTGCTTACAGTGTATTCCAAGAGCACCGGTTCAGAAGCAGCTTCATTGATTTCTTCTAATTACAAATCCTATAGAAAGTTTTTGGCTTGCAACAGTCCCAGTTTTCCTCTCAGTGGAGCCAATAAAAGTTAAGAGTTGCTCCCTGGTTACTGTCATTACAACAATAAAAACCCAGAGTAATTGAAAAGTGAATCAGGGAAACTGCCAGATTGGAGAGCAATGATAATAGAAGAAATTACCTGGGAGCCCAAACCCAATGCAAAATCTTTTCTCTGGCTGCACCGAGCCTGAGCCTGTTCTGGACAAACTCCTGTGCTGACGTGTTTCTAACAGAGGACGTGCCTCCTGCATCCAAGTACCAGAGCATAGAGCAAAGCTGGAGCAATGACCAACAGGTCAAACTCTCAATACACGAGCCAAGAAGGATGATTTTGAACCCCATCTGAGATGGTTGCTCTTCCTAAAAGGCAGAATGACAATGCAAACATAAAAAAATAATTCCTCTCTATATAAGTATAAAGCTCAAAAGGAAGAGCTGGACATGCAGCAACAGATACACATTCATCAAGAGAACAATTATTTCCCACTAGACAAGTGCAGGAAGACCCAAAAACCCACAAGTCATTACTTTTTCCATGTCATTAAGATTAGACGATAACCATGGTTGTGTTTGTAATCCAGGTAGCTTGAAGCAAAGCAACAGGTAGAATCACAGTAGATTCTGCAAAAGCTTGTCAGTGGCAATGCTGGTACAGCAGGAGACCAGCAAAGGCTTGTAAGAGTGAGAAGAAAGGAGCAGCCTATGTCAACATAGGCAACGGTGTGTCCCGAGGTGAGTTTTCCCACCTGAAGCTCTGGAAGCAGACATGCAGGAGCAGGAGGCTGATCCGAAGCTGTTGTTCTTCCAACACAGTCATCTCAGGACATAGTGGGGCAGATCCTGAAGCAGTCAATTGTCTTTTACTCTCCCCAAGGACGGGATGCATGGAACATATCGGGGGTGCCTCGTCCTCAGCTACCCTGCCTCTGTAAAGTCTGGGAGCACTTCCAGTGAGCAGGCTCACACAGCCCCGCAGATATCCTTAAAGAAGGATTTAAGCAAAGAGCAGGTCTCAGAGACTGCTCTGGGCTGTGAAGCATTCACAGGGGTGAGCATCCATCTGGTGATGGCTGAACACAGGGTTTGGACAGCTTCTAGAAAGACTGTTCCCTGAAGGGGGAAAAAACAAACCCATCAACTACAGAAAAAAAAAAAAAAAGTTTGCATTGGCCTCAGAGAACTGCCCCTGAGCCAAGAACAGGAAGAGAACTCCAACACAGGTTGAACATCACACCCTGATGAGATGGCATGGAGTAACCACATGCAGACGGGCTGCTCCTGTTGATATGAAGTGACCACTAGGATGAAATTATGGGCTTGGCACATGGGTGGACCCAGGAAGACGCTGGGGCTCGAGTTCAGATTTCAGTTTCCCCAAGACAAAGATCCCAAAGGAATGCATGGTTGGGCGATAGATGAGAAACCACTGCTTTTACCTCCACGGTACTGGCGTGCATTCAGCACTGCAGAAAGCCAACCAGGAGGGCTGCAAACCCTGGGCAGCCTCAAGGCACTCTGCAAACTTCCACTAACAACACCTCCCGACACCGCGGTAAGGCAACCATATGAATTAACCCCCATTTCCACACCTCTAGTTGCCAAGAGAAACGCTTTTCGTAATCATGCTGGTTGTGAAGTACACAGCTGCTCAATTTTACTTTGGTCTTTTAACATTAAAGAAAGTGGAATACGGGTGGTGAGATTTCCTCACGCACAACAAAGCAGGCTGGAAATTTGTGACTAAATACCGAGGGGATTTGCAATCCAGCTTTGAACTGTGCAACAAGGAGCCACTGGTGACAATGGTGCACTCGCTATTTTTAGGGAACACTGAATCCCCGAGGAACAAGGACAGCAGCAAAACACCAAACTCACCAGACTTGCTTTTCAGAGAACTCATCTAAGGCAAAACAGTCAGCTTTGGCTTTTGCCCCTGCTGTCCCCTTTTCCACAGATTTTCTGCAGCAGGTTTTTGATTGTAGCAGGAAATAAACAAATAAATAGAATTGTAGAAATTGGTGCTTCTAAGGATAAATGGATAAATATATACGTATGTGTGCAACTCTGCCTATACACACACACAGATAGGCATAAATATTTCAGGGCCCGGATTTAATCAAAGTGCATTCATTTTTCTTAGTTAACCACTGTGAGGATTAATGATTTTGCATCCATGCGATGAGGTGTGCTGCAGTGCTCAGGAAAGACGACTTCAGATAACCCACCGAGCAGCTCCCTGGCCAGATAAGGCTTGTCCTGCCCTTATCAGGCTGGGGGGGAAGGAGCAGGAATTTCTTGCTGTACCGTTTCCGAACTGCTGGCTGTGCAATCTGATCACAGGCTATCGCCACGCTCTCAATTGCAGAAGCAGGCACAAGTTTGCATCACCTTTCCTCCACTGCAGCGTCAGGGCCAGAGGTGTTTGGCTTTCCTGAGGTTTCTCGATGGTGGGTGGTTTAGAAGAGGGTGTACAAGTCCTGGTGCTCACTGTTTGCTGTAGGCAAGCCCGTGATTTGGGCTATAAGGGCTGAGAGTTCAGGGTGCTGTTCAAAGGATGATCATCTGCAGCACAGGGGGCAACTCGGAGCGTTTCCATCCTTCTTTACTGACTGCACCAATGGCTCAGAGAGAGGGGTCTCCTCACCTGGAACGTCAGCAGCCAGTGTGAACGCGCTCTCTTCCGTACCATTAGCAGATACTAATGCCACAAACCTTACACACGTGCAAAGTTCCTCTGCAGCAAAATGTTAATTTCTACATATTCTGCAGAAATCATCTGGTTTCAATACCTGGTGTGTCTAAGAACAACATTTACCTACTGGATAGACAGCAGAAGTCAGCTAAGAGGGAGGAAATGTTCTCTGCTTGAGCTCACTGCACAGGCACAAATGGAAAGTTGGAAGGAAAAAAGGGGCAGATTCAAGGTTGTGGCTAGTGGCAAGGTGTAAGAGCTACCAGAGGAGTCTCTTGGGGTTTTCTCTCTGTTGGTACCGGATTGATGAATCTGCAGCCTGGAACACCATCCATGGCATAGGGCTGTGTTTCTCTACCGCTCTACCGGCATTAAGTAAGCTGGCAAGAGCTCTAGCAACACCCATTTACAACATTCACACTGTTAGTGTTAAATGAACCCAAAAGAGCAAAATTTGCAAAGTTATATTGAGGTGTTGAAATGAGGTTGAAAAAAACCCATGAGCAGGGAACTGCGTCATGCCCACATGCCTCTCTTCCTCCAAGCACCATGCTTGTTATCGGTGGCTGAGCCTAACTCGGTCTTCTTCCCACAGTTCGACATGCAGAGGATAACACTGGAAGAGCTGAAACACATCCTCTACCACGCCTTCCGGGACCACCTAACGATGAAGGACATCGAGAACATCATTATCAACGAAGAGGAGAGTTTAAACGAAAACTCTGGCAACTGCCAAACAGAGTTTGAAGGTGAGAGAGAAAGTCTCTGTGTTTCTGTACAATTGTTCTCTTTCTGCTTCGTCTGTAAAACTCTGTGTGATCCGTGACATGCAGTGGGCAATCATGGAGTTAGCATGGAGTTATTTTAGAGTAAGTAGCAATGACACAGTTAGAGAGCTCAAGAGCTGCCGTGAGCCTTCTTCCATGTGGTCTAAGTAAAGCTGATTGTGTTTCAGGCAGGAGGATGAACTAGTGGGTGCTTTGCCTTATGGCCCTCCTTTCTCCAGGGGGGTTCAGGCTGGGGGATGTGCAGCCCATGCTGAGGTCAGTGTCTCAGACAGGCTGAATTTCCATACAGAAATATGCATGTATAAGCCCGTCACGGAAAGACTGTTGGCACCAGGTCGTGCTCTGGCAAGCTGTGTTAGGCTCCACCAGTTTTCTGTTGCCTTTCCACAAGCAGAAAAGGTCTTCTTGCTCTGGGCTCCCAGGGAACGGCTGGGGAGAGTCCCCTCTCTGCAGTGTAACACCAGCAATGAGCAGAGACTTCTGCACCCTCCTGCCCTGCACGCCCCTTGTTCGGCGCTGTCGGGACCACTGGTGTGAGGCTGCAGTATGCCACACAGGTACACCACAGGACAGCTCATCCCAACACACATGAGAGTGGCTGCAAGACCAAGGTCTGAGCAACCCTTAGAGGTAGCTGGAGAAAGGGAAACACTTTCTGCTGTTGCTTAACACAGCATCCTCTCAGCAGTGCCCCAAGACCACTGAGTAAGTGATCAGCAACCAGGATCAGATACAACCTCAACTTTTACAGTGGATTTTGCACTTTGACCGGAGATAACACTGGCAAGAACATGCCCCATTTTAAGCCACCGTGGGAGAAGGATTTTCTTGGACAGAGGAACTTTTGCTGCTCCCAAACATTGCTGGTTGGAAAACTAAACGGGTACAAATCATCTCAAGTGCAGAAAAGTCCGGGGAGACACCTACAGAGAATTGCAGGTTTTGTGCACATCACCCTGGGACAGCTACTGTGCTTTCCCACCCACAGCAATGCCACTTTATATAGGCCATTTTGGGGCAAATCTTGATATCTGAGGGGTCAAATAGCTGCTGAAAGGGCACCAAGCAGAGACACTGAAGCGTCTTTAAAACAAAGCAAAGGATAAAAATATTAGTGCAATTCTTAGCCTGGCTAATTAATGGGATTCAGAAGCTATATCCAGCACACTCACCCTCTGCTAAATACTGCAGAAAAGATGTAGAAGAGCACAGCTGAATTTTAAAAAGCCTGCAGGAGGGAGGCGAGCAGCAATGCTCTTTGAATCAAGCCAAGCAACATTTTTTTTTTTTGTTCCTCCTGGAGAGCAGCAGGGAGGAAGAGATGCTTACTTACATGAATGGAGTTGTTAGTCCCCACTGACCTGCTGATTTAGTGGAGACATGCGCCAGCTGTCACCGCGGCGAGACGCATGCGGGCTTCTTTCAGCTTCGATACTTGGGTGAACTATCCCAGTCGCCAAAAAAAAAAAAAAAAAAAAGGGTCCGAAAACCTAAATGCTCAGCATCTCATTTTGGAAGTCCCAGCTTCCAAAAGTACAGCAAGAACAGCTTTTCTCGTGGGATGTTGGCATTGCTGGTGCTAGGCAGAACCTAGAAGCAAAACAGACCCTTTTTTAGATGTTGTTAGAAATACACACACACACACACACGCAAAAATCCACCAGAGAATAAAGATCAACTGAACACTGTCAACAAAGATGCAAAGTTTTGCTTCAGGTCCCAGAAGAAGGGGACGGTTCTGGTCCGTGGCAGCTTTGACGTGAGCATTTCTCCCAGGAAAGGCAGGCTGAGAGCAGGTTGCGTCCCTGCAGCTCTCCAGGCTGGACATGCCATTACCGGAATGACCCACCTGTGCCCTTGGCGTTCCCATTTCCTAAACACTAAGATCCCGACAGGCCTCAAAAGCAGAAATTATGGGGCCTCATGGCAGGGATCAATGGCACTAAGGGAGAGCTGTCACGAAGGTTGGACAGCATCTCAGTCTAGCTTTAAACAGGGCTGTACAGAAGTGTCTCTGTGTAAGCCACTCTCTCTTGCCTCACTTCTTAATTAGTGGAGTGAAGGAGATGCTTTTTGGGTATAATTCATCAAGCTTATTTTAGGTGCTACCTTGGGATGAGAGGATTGCACCTTAAAAAGCACCTATTTCTTTCAACTGTAAAGGTAGCCTAAAGGGATTAGCTTAGAGGCTCACATCTATATTTAATGTACATTTCATCCACCCCATTGAAGCACCTTTAATTATGGGTAGGAATGAAGCCAAGCTGAGCCCCGATGGTTTTCACTGAGATTTGGGAATGGCTCCTAAGGGAAGAGACATAGCAGACACTTTCAGTAGTACTTTGCAGAAATGGGGGATCTCCACTCACTGTCACCTCCGGGTATGTTCTTGCCATCAAAGAGAAGCCCCGAAACCCTTCTCCATCCCATGGACAGAGGCACTCCCCCATCTCCATCCCTGGGGTTAGGCGGCTCAGCCCCGCCAGGTGCTGAACAGCACTATACGGGACACATTGCCATTGGTACAGATTTCTGTCTTTCTCACAGTTTTGCCATCTTGGCTTCTTGTCATAATGAGGTCTTCACAACTATGTAATATTCTTCCTATATCAACACAGACAGTATACCTTATCTCTCTCTCCCACACTCATATACACGCACACAACCACACACACACTTTAAACCAAATATAATATTCATATTATGGTCAGGGACAAGTCCAGGATTTATTTCAGTTCCCTCTGAACATGAGAGTCGTTTGCAAGACGTCAGATCTAGGCTTACATTACAACTTCCCCTCCTACGCATTTTTAGGGGTTTTCATTTGCCTTATTCTTGATGAAGAGCAAAGCAATAAAAATGCCCAACTCCTCAGTACAAGCAGCCCACACCAGCCCTGCTGACAAAGAATACCACCAGAAGGGAGGCACAGTTATGTCTTCTGCCTTTCATCTCGATTTTTATTAATGCTTGGGGAAGGAGAACAAAGTCAAGAACCAAGAAGAGTGTTTGTTTTATGAGAAAAGGCACAAGAAAAGGACAACTGTTTGCAGCGACATTGTGCTACCAAAAATTTATAGTACAAAAATCATTTGTCTGGCAGTTCCCTTTATCCAAACACGACATTAAGCTCATGGCAAACAAGAGTGCCGGCTGGTTACGGTGACCCATGCTGTCTGCCACGGGTATTTCATCCACAGCCCTGACACTCAAATTAACTGGATGCACAAGAGCTGCAGCAGCTCCCCTCCCTGCTCCCCCCAGACAAGCACCAGGAGCATCCACTCCTCAACTAAGGGCTTGGGAATGAAAAACTGACCTCTTAAAATGAAAATAACTCCGTCCACCCAGAGAAAGCAAATATCACTCACCTTTAGCAGGGTTATGACTATAAATACACTGCAGCTGTTCATGTCAGCAAAGCTTTTTCTGCAGTCGAGAAGGCTCTCAGCACTTACCCTCACCATCCCAAACCCACCGTGGGCATCGTCACCAGCCCAGCAGCCACAGCGAGGGGGCTGATCCACCCTGAGATGGTTTGGACCCATTAACCCCATGTCCCGGTGGAGAAGTTATAGCAACAGTAGCTCTGTCTCTGCCACTAGTGCCATGACGGTGAGTCCTCCTCACCAGCACATTCCCTGCATGTTGAGAAGATGAAGGATGACCCAGCCTCGCTTTGCCTTTGCTTCTTGAGATCTCATGTACGTTGGACAGCCTGTGAGCTGTTCTCCTCCCTAAGAAGGGGACAGGACATCTCCAGAGGAGCTTCAAGCTCTGACCGTGTCCAAGGAACCGGCTCACATCCAAACCTCGGCGTGTCCCATGGGTATTAAAAACTCCAGCTGCCAACCAAATGCAAAACAGATGGAGCATCCAGTCCTGCAACAATGCCAGCTACGGATACCAGCAGGAAAAAACACATATGCCATGCTTAAAAGATCTATGAATTTGGAGAAAGGAGAGAATCATAAAATGGGTTAGGTTGGAAAGGACCTTGAAGATCATCGAGTTACAACCCCCCTGACATAGACAGGAACACCTCCCACCAGCCCAGGTTGCCCAAGGCCACATCCAGCCTTGCCTTGAACACTTCCAGGGATGGGGCCTCAACAACCTTTCTGGGCAACCTGTTCCAGTGCCTCACCACCCTTAAAGTGAAAAATTTCTTCCTAATGTTTAATCTAAACCTGCCCTCTTCCAGTTTACAGCCATTCCCCCTCGTCCTACCACTCCATGCCGTAGTCCTTCCCCAGCTCTCCTGTAGCCCCTTTAGGTACTGGAAGGCCGCAATAAGATGTCCCCGGAGCCTTCTCTTCTCCAGGCTGAACAGCCCCAACTCTCTCAGCCTCTCCTCGTAGGAGAGAGGGCAAAAACTCACCAGTCAGCAGGAGGGGCAAATGGGTCTTCACAGTTAAGAGGGCAATTCACAGGGCAGCACATAGCTGTGTTCACAGTGAAGAAAGTCAGTAATTTCAGCTGCTTTGTCTGCCTGTGGATGGCAAGGGGGCAGAGGAAATGTTAAGCTCATCTTCTTGCTGGAGTAATTCCTG